CTCCGCTTGGCCTGCCTGTACCCGTCAGTAGCCTCAGGTGTCCCACGAGCCAACCAGGCTCGAAAGGACTCCTTCTTCAGCTCCCAATCACGCCCCTCCAGGTGTCACTGTCGCTGCCCACGTGAGCATTGAAGTCCCCCAGTAGAACAACGAAGTACCCAGTCGGGGCGTTTTCCAGCACCCTTTCCAGGGACTCAAAGAAGGCCGGGTATTCTGCACTGCCATTCGGCCCATAGGCACAAACGGCAGTGAGAGACCTATCCCCGACCCGAAGGCGCAGGGAAACGACCCTCTCGTTCACCGGGGTAAACTCCAACACATGGCGGCTAAGCTGGGGGGCAATTAGCAAGCCCATCCCCTCCTGCACAAGCTCGGGCTCCTTCCCCACCAGCAAGGTGACATTCCATGTCCCCAGGGCTAGTCTCCATGTCCAGAGATCGGGTCGTCGGGGCCCCTGCCTTTGACTGCTGCCCGATCCACTGTGCACCAGCCCCTTATGGATCCTCCTGCAGGTGGTGGGCCCACGGGAGGACGTCCCACATGTCGCTCGTTTGGGCTAAGCCCGGTCAGGCCCCGTGAGGGGAGGCCCGGCCACCAGGCGCTCGCATTTGAGCCCCAACCCTGGGCCTGGCTCCAGGGGGGGCCCCAGTTGCGCCATGCTGGCCTTGATTGAATTCTATTCATAAAGGTCTTTTTGAACTGCTCTTCGTCTGACTCATCACCTAGGACCTGTTTGCCTTGGGAGACCCTACCAGGAGCATATAGCCCCCAACAACATAGCTCCTAGGATCACTCGGGTACTCAAACCCCTCCACCACAATAAGGTGGCGGTTCAAGGAGGATTTAAAATATCGCAAATGTTTAAATACGATTCTGGTGAGTGTTAATGTTGCCCTTTTATACAACTTCACAGAGATGTTGGACTGCAGCTTTGCCTTCAGTTCACTGCGTCCCAATGTAGGACTGCACCAGAAAGAAAATCCTCCATAGCCCCAGAACGAGAATGTTAGCTGACATCACTGTAAAAAAAAAGGCCTAGGGATGATGGTCTCTTGTGTTCTTTTCCTGTACCTGATGAAGACTTTCTGGATGTAGACCTCTTGGATGACGTCTTTCTGGATTTGGACTTATCAGATGAAGATTTTCTGGTTCTGCCCAAACTATACACCCTTGGCTTCTTTGGACTTCCGTGCTGAATAAATGACATAAAAATGATGAATACCTATTAAGTAAAACGTCACAACATAGGCCACACTCCCGTGGCTGCTAGGCTCCTGACTACAGCGGTCTGCTAAAGTTAGTCCATACCCAACTCGAGTCTTCATCCACCTCCTCATCAGAGGACAAGACTTTCTTGCGTCTCTGTTGTGCATTGTCGGAGTCAGACTCCCCCTGTAGGAGAAAAGATCAGTTCTTACATTATTATCCCTCCTCACAAGAAGTTTTGTTCTTATATTGCTGTGACTATGACATTATTACTTCTGCTATTTAATCATACTACAGATTTACCTGTGACCGACAGTCACTGTATATCCCGCTACCTGATTCACTTGTTCTTGTCTTCTCATTTTTCATCTGCTTATTTTTCACCGGCCTTGTTAGAACACAGGGAAAGACAATTAACTTGATAGGAAAACAAAAGGACAGACAGATCAATATACCATTATATGAGACTGACACCAGCCTTGTTAGAACACAGGAAAAGACAATTAACTTGATAGGAAAAAAAAAGGACAGACAAATCAATATACCATTATATGAGACTGACAAGCAGACAGACAATGAGGACAAAAGTAATGCACCATAGTGATGTTACATATGACCATGTGTCCGAGTGTGGTTTGCGCCGAAGCCTCATATCGAGGCTTGTATAATTTTCAGGGAATCACATGATTGTTTCAGTTTGAGATCCAATTTGTTGATACAAGGACTGAGAAACCTGAGCCTTTTGTGGATGTAGTCAGTCGGTTGGGGTGCAAAGAGTGACAAATATTGAGGATTTGGTGGAATTTTTGAATTATGTGTGATTTAACTCTTGACAGTGAGAGTACAAAAATGAAGCCTACAAAAAGATTTCCTGTTTCATAGCATATCTCATTATAAGGTCAAGGGTATATGGCATATAATACCAGAAACATTTGTTTCTACATAAAAATAAAAGCTTCCCTTTCCTCTCTATGTTACACAAGCACTCTCAGTTGTTGCAACACACCTGCAATATCTGTGCTAGGTCAACAGCACAATAGATTATGATTCAGCTGCATGTCATTACTTTTAACAGTAGTTGTCACTAGTAAACTTAAAGAAAAATGATGCATCCATTAACGAACCTTTTGGAATTACAGTGGATCGCAAAGCCTCATTGCCTCGGGAAAGCCTCGTTTGGCCATCGCAAGTGCACTGTTATGTCCGGAAATAAACATGTAATTATAACAGCTAGACTTTTATGTGTCATATTACAATCTCTTTACATTTCCCAGTTTTCCTGTTATAGTTTTAGTTTATCGAGAGGGACACTGAGCATCAATCAACAGGCAAAAAAATAAAAAATAAAAAGTGTACATGAGCCAGAGTCAAGCTATGAGGCTAATTTTTGTCTTCTGTCTCTCTGGCCAAATGTTAAAAACAAGTCCTATAAATGCTGTTATATTTTTATTGTTGTTGTATCTGCGTAATTTGATACTTCCTATAAACTGTTGAAGCTTTTTTGAGTTCTTTGTTCAATCTAAGGCTCCTAACACACAACTTCTTCTTCTTCTGCACAACTAACTGCTCTTTCCCCTTCAGTTTCTCCCTTCTTTTTCTTTGAGTCTCCCCCCTTTTCAGGTCTGTTCAATGCAGACAGAAGAGATGGAGTTACCGAGACTGGTTTTCATTCACTCACATATTGCTAGTGTGGAAAATTAATGGTAGCAAATTAATTCTTTGACCTTACCTCCTGGCTTTGACCATATCTCCAGAACATCTTCTACTTCTCTTGATTTTATTTTCCTTTTTCTCCATTGCTCCATCTATCTCTGTCTCCCTCCTCTTCACAGCAGCCCCACGCTGTTTAGCCGTGGTCTTCGGTAGGGGAGGAATGTTCCTTCTCTCAGGTTTTCCTTTGTCCATCTGTCCCTTCTGCAAGCCCTTTAAATCCTCCTCCATGGCAGTACTGTGCAGAGGGTTACCTAGGCAACACGGGAGTTCTCTGGTCAGCACAAGACTGGTGTTCTGACATTGTGCCTAGACCTAAATAACTGAAGTGACGTCAAAGCTTTGAAGCTTGTGTCGGGCAAAGGGAGTTCTTCCAAATGAAGCCTTGTTTCAGTGTTTGTTTTGTTTCCCTGATTGTCATGTGATCAATGACAAATGAGGCCCCAGTTTCTCACAGAATCACACGACTGTTCCAGTTTGAGATTCATAGATTCGAATTGTCGATAGAAGGACAGAGAAACCTGAACCTTTTGCAAGTAGCTGGATGGTTGATTTGCATAAAGTACTGAGACTTGACATTATGTTTTATGTTAGTTTTTATTTACTGTCCAGTGTTGAGGATTTGAATCATATTTGATACAACTCTTGACACTGAAAGTACAAAACGACAATTAATAAACAATATTAATATTTTCCTGTAAGGCAAAAGGTATATGTCATATAATATAACAGAAACTTTTGTTTCTAAGTAAAAATAAAAAGTGTCCCTTACCTTGTTCAGTTACACAAGTATGTCAGTAATATTTGCACCGTCGGCATCACTACACTTCATTACTTTAAACAGTAGGTGTCACTAGTGACCGAGTCAAATGAGATTTGAGTAGTTAACCTTTTGGTGATACAATGGACTACAAAACCACATTGCTTCAGGAAAGTCTCCTACAGGCATCACTATTAAATAACCTGAGGCAAAAGCTTTGGTGTCACACAAAACATCACTACTATGTAGGCACCAATAGGGATAAGGACATGATAGTCATACAATGTAAAAACTCACCATAATTTTCCTGAAGTCCTTCTAGGAAACCATCTTCATCTATAGTAAGCAGGTTGGAAAAATCCATTTGATCAGAAGAAGCTTTCTGCATTTGAACAACAATAAAATGTCAGTTATATCACTGAAGTCAACCAAGCTTTGTTTACAAGGTTTAATAATGCAAATACAGACATGTAAACTGGGCACAGAAATTCCCTTCTTATATAATTAACACGGGGATCACCCCCTTTTTAAAAAAACAAACAAAAAAAGCACACCACCCATCTTCCATGGATTACAGTCTAAGTTTAATCAGAAGAGCAGTACAAATGTGACAATGACCCTTAAGCAACTCACTTGTCTCACAGCTGGTGGCGCTGTGAGCACTTTGGTTCCTCTGCCCTTTTTGGCACTGTGAAAACAAAACAGGAATCCGTTTATCAAGCATCAACAGGGGACACCTCCAAATATATGACTCTGGATCCCGGGATGCTGTCTGTGTTTATAGCTTAACTACTTTACAAATGCGACCCAACAAAGACCGTATTTCAGTTAGACTGACACATCTCGGACTAGCCCCAGCTCTTGTGATTCTCATAATCTCGGACATACATCTCGTACCTAATTAAAGTTACTGTAACGTTACGGTACTAAAGGGCGGTTACGAAGCAGAAACTAATTTGTAAAGTAATTTACAAGCTAGATCAATCTGCCTAACCTAAATATGCCACATTTCCCAGTCGACAAACAATGCAACACAGAATCATCAAATTTCTAAATTAAAACGTTGCCAACATACGAAAGACCGTTGTGTATCAGATATCTGGTTTCGTATGTTGGCTAGATTCTAATTAATAAACATTTCTCACCTCATTCTCGGAAAAACTACAGCTAAAATGCCAAGTTTGTTTTAGTAATCACTCAGTTGCTCAAATTTCCCGCAAACCGTTCTAATATCCGGGCTGTACCATTCCAAATACAAAGGGTGGAAGATCCTACGGAGAGTCAAAGGGTTCATATTAGCCGCGGTTCTTAAAATCTTTAATTTACAAGAGGGAAACCACCCACTGTAGATAGTTTAGGCATGCTAATTGTTAAAAGATAATTAACTGTCCAGTGAATATACGAAAATCCGTTAATAATATTAAGATAGGTTTTGTCTTGGCGCCATTATCATCTATTTTCCGTAAAGCTAATAGGGCTCAAAACAATTACACATCATCTAAATGAGCAACAGTGAAGCAAAGGACATCACACAGCTTTTTGGTGATTTAAAAAAAATGTTTTATAAAACAAATCCGAGACAACGTTAAAAACAATTATGGTGAGCCCACCACAGTTAAAAGTAGTTCCATAAAACGTTTAACATTCTAAATGATTTCATTCAGGTTGTAAACAGTTATTTTGAAACTTAGCTTTACCCCTTAGTATAATGTAATTTAAGAAAACGGATCCATTCAGCTTCTCCTCCCTGTCTGTTACCATCATAAATCTTTCAAACACTGACACAATTTCATTATGTCTTGAATGTTTAGTAGGCTACCTGAATTCCCTGTTTATAGCTAGCTTTGTCTGGGTTATCAGAAATACAGATAGTCTTATTAATGTAAATGCGTATGGACCAAACAGAAACAATCCAGTCATCCACTGCAAATTTCACCTTCAACTGAAGAAGCTCAACATACATAGTCAAATAAAATCATGACATCTGAAAGAAAACATCTGAAATGTTCAAGTTGAGGTGCATGAGGGTATATGTGTTTCAAAACTAATCAATATGAACCCCAGAGCCTGGTTCAGTAGTGTTTATGTGTGTCAGAGGTACTGTGTGTGATTCATCATGCTTAATTCCTGAGATATGCAGTGCTACAGAGCTGTACTATTTCCCTTTACAAATCCTTTTTTGAGACATTATGACAAAATATCTGATTAGAATCAACACAATATCACAGACTTTGTACACTACATAGCATAGGCAAAACTATTTCATCAATGGACACATTTATTTTAAGCATAACATCTACCCTTGACCATCAGAGGTTTGGTTGTTTCTGCCATATATCCTACATGTCAATGATTTTGTTTTAATTGCTCTGAATCCATGAAAAGCAACATCACCTCCTGGTGCTGCTTTATCCAGTCTTATTGACCAGGAGGACTAAATGCATTAGCCACATTTGGACCTCTTCATTTGATCCAGTGTGTGCTTTAGGTTGTATTTCCCTGTCTTCCTCTTCATCCATCCACACCTTTGGTAGCGCTCTTGTGTGTGTTTTTTTCATTTTGCTCTCCCTCCCTCCTGCTATATTTTGAGCCCTGCATAGAGCTCGTCTATCTGGGGCCTGAAGAGCTGTTGTATTTCATTCCTCTTGGCCTTCATTGTTGGAGTGAGTAGACCGTTTTCCACTGAAAATAGCTCGGTGTGGATGTAAATGGCCTTCACCTACAGAACACAGATAAGTCAGCAGGTTGTGTTACATAGGATAATTATGTTTCACTTCCTTGAAAACAGTGTCTCATGTCTGAACCAAGTTTTTAAAGACCACTATAAAGCTAAAGATCTTTCAAATATTGGCTGAATTATGAAGTGTTTTGCTTCCTCCTCTTCTTTTTATGATGTTTGGCAAACAGCTTTTGGTGCATTACTACCACACTCTGAATTGAAGTGTGGACCAGAATTGATCCTAGGACCTATGAGTGAGTGTTGTACCTGCTCAAAGGAGCTGAGGCCTCCTTCCTTGCCCAATCGCAGCATATCTTCCAAAATGGCTGCTTTGACATCCTGTGCAGACGGGATCAAAGAAAGATACCTCACAACAATGATGTCACAAGCTCTTTAAATTGACACTGTACCCGGGCTGTAGTTTAAATGGGCATTTGGCCCAATTCACAATCCTTACTTAGTCTAAACCCTTAGTTTCTTGTTCAAGGCAACTTCTTATGTCAGTTCTAACACATTCCTTTTAATAAAGAAAAAAATCCTTAGAATTTGTAACTCTGTACACACAAACTGTATATGCACATTAGAGGGAAAAACATGAATACCTTACAATGCAGTCCATTTAAACACTACAAACTAATGCCTAAAGACAGCTGAATTGTCACCTGTCTAGTAATTTTGCTTCAGAACCACACCGTCTATTTATGTGACATGCAACAGCAGGTGGTCATACGTGACCATTAGGCTAAAGTTAGAGTGTAGATGCCAGGAATTTTTCTTGCCACCATAAATACAGACAAACCTATTAGATTCTTCATGAAAACAGTACCGTCTGTCTCTAATTGTCAGTCAGGTGATAGACTGGTGTCCTGTCCAGGGCGTACCCTGCCTCTCTCCCAGTGTCAGCTGGCACTGGCTCCAGCCCCCCTCCCCCGCGACCCTCATTAGGATAAGCAGCACAGATAATAGATGGATGAAGATTGTACCATATTATGATGTTGTAGCATGTGCAATGTTCAGCCAAGCTTGTTAAGAAAATTGCCTGAACTGGGAAATTGTTATGTCCTAAGTCTTGTTCAATAAGCCAAATACTAAAGTCAACAAATTCCTTTCACTGTACCACAAATATGTCAAATAAAAATACATTTTATTTTCTGCAGATCATTTTTATTATTATTTTCTGAAAATTAGTACAGCTACCCACTGATCTCTAGTGACTGCAGAAGAACCTCCTGGTGTTCTCTGAATAGGAATCTCTGTTCCATATAAACAGTCTGACTTTCTACAGGGAAATGGATTTGCCCTGTGGGCACAATGAATCCACTGTATAGTGGCATTTAACTCTATAAAGTATTACCGCTCTGCCACATAGTTCCTCGTAGCTGCCCTGGATTCCCAGTGTCCTCTTGGTCCAGCCAGACAGGAAGTCAGGGTCAGGGACCACCACTGCTACCAGACACGCCTGGAGATTAACACCGTACATTTAGTGACTATTGATCTTCTAAAAGCCACAGAGCCGTTCATGTCTTGTGAACTAACATAGTTCGGTGCACATAGGAGACACAATAGATTTCCTTGCATTCAAGATTGGTGATTTTATTTATTAACAGTTGCAGGTCACCATAGTCCATCACACAATGTTGACTTTCTTGTTCAATGTCCATTTTCTGTTGATCCTTTGATGTGTCTGTACGACTGTGGTCTAAAACTGTTCACCTCCAAGATCATGAACACCTGGTGCTAAGCACAAGCTCCCTTAAATATTGTCTCAAATAAAGACATGACCCGTACTGGCTGGAAGTATTCACAATATTACAAATGAAAAAACAGAAAATGGCTCTTATAGTACTCATAAGTTAAAATGATGTATAACAAATTGTAGCCAGGATTTTGTTTCATAATACACAGATTCCGCTTAAGTGTCAAAGGCAAGAGAGTTTGAAGGCATTAAGAATTTCCTCCACCTACCTGCAGACTGTCTCCATGCACAAAGAGCTGTGCCACTGCATTACTCCTCATGTAGACATTCTCTATCTTTTCGGGAGCAATGTACTCCCCCTGTGCCAACTTGAAGATGTGCTTCTTCCTGTCCACAAGCTTCAGCGTGCCATTCTGCATACATATATACATAGGTTAAATTTTTATCCACATATTCTGAAGCATCTACAGGCTGTCAGAAATACAGCATCTTACAAATCTAGCTATATGTGTCAATGAACTTTGGCTGAGCTCAATAATGTGTGTGTGAAGTTGAGCTGAACAAAGTGAGGTTGAACTCTAGGAACCTGACCCTACCGGCAGCCATTTTCCAATGTCCCCAGTGTGAACCCATCCATCTGCATCAATCGTCTCTGCGGTTTTCTCTGGGTCCTTCAGATAGCCTTGGAACACGTTTGAACCCTTCACACACACCTAGAAACCCCCCCACAACACACATACTTATGAATGACATACATCATCAAGACTGACTTCCTCTGAGGTTTGTCTGTCTTTGTGGTTCACCTCGCCCTCTCTGTTCTCAGCCAGGTAGTTCATCTCAGGCACATCCACCAGTTTAATAGAGTTACAGGGCAGAGGAGCTCCTACATGACCTATGACATGATGTCAAAGTTAGTTTCTGTAAACTGGAGTAATCAATCAATTCATCATTACAAGGCTGCATATCATGAGTTACATGGACTAAGTGGCTCATGGCTTTGTTGAGACATGACGCCTAGACATAAGTTAGCTGACAAATTCCTGATTGGGGTAACATGTCTGAAAGGGGCTTTAGTTAATGAAAATTAGTTGAGTTAAGCACTTTTATTATTTATTACCTGCAGTCCAATCTCCACCCAGGCTCAAAGTGCATCCAGCAGTACACTCTGTTTGTCCATAGCCTTCATAGAACTGTGACAGAGAAACACGCTAGGGTTGTTATTATGGATAATGATCATGATTACAGATTAGATGGCAGCATTTCTACCTATGACTTAAAATGCAGAGTTCCAGGAAAGATGACAAAGACAGGATAAAATGCGAAACAAGAGATAAACTCAGCTGTTGCATGTTTTACCTGACAGCCAATTGCAGCTCTGAGGAAGGTGAGAACAGTAGGAGAGATCGGAGCAGCTCCTGTTATTATGAGGCGCACGCGGCCACCAAGGCTACCCTGTAGAAGGCAGCACACTACATCTTTTTTACTTCAGTTCCAACAAATTAATATTAGAAATCAGTCTAACAGGTTTTTTTCAACCCTAAGATGCCACATAATGTCTACATATGTACTGCTTCAGCCTTCTGTAGCACTTTCAGTAAAGGCAGTTTGAGGATGATCACAGTGTTGGGTAGATTTGTCTGTGTAATCTTATGATAATAATCAAGGACTTCTATAAATTCATCAGAAAATGAACATGTACCACCATTTTAACCGCGCATCTGACTTTAGAGCAATAAATACTTGAAACTGGATCTTTAGAACTTCTTTTGCAAGACACTTAATAACAGGAGCAATAGTAACAGAAGACCTGCAAGGATGTCTTTAGAATGCAAGTATATATAATCACACAAAGTTATGGGCAGTGCTAGGCACACATTCTAAAGGCACTTTTAGCCTGTGCAAAAATGACTGCATATGTTTGTTGCTTGTCACACTGTGCAAAACATGTCAAACTAAGTTTTGTTGACAATCTGTGTCAGGCTGTAGTTTAAGCATTTCAAACTGCCAGACTGTATGAATGAATGTTACATAATGTAAAAAAAAATATTTGAGAGCTAAAGCATGCCATCAAGTCATATGGTTGATCTGTGGCCCTCTTGTGATTTGAAAACTTCCAAATCAGTTGTTTCATGCATCTAGGACTTTGGTTTTTATAGCATGTTTACTGTAAGAAGCCCTTTTGTGCACACTGGAATAACCTGAATTATTTCAGAGATATTGCCCAGCCCTAGTCAAAACCATTCTTGACCATGTAGCTCTTGAGGGCAGTGACATAAAAGTTTTAACTGCCTGGCTCTGGGTACCTGGACCTTCCTGAAGATGAGCCAATCCCAGATACTGTTTCTTCTCATGATGCCTTTCATTAACTCTCTCTCCTTTCTCCTGTAGGCAAACTCCAGTACCCAGCGTTTGAAAGAGGTGTTGGCCTGCCCAAAGATCTACAGACACATATACACTTATATTATAAGTGTTGACATCATAATCATCATCATCATCGTCTTTGCTGCTTTCAGGTGCCTAGACAACTTTAGTTTTAAATCTTAATATGTTATGGACACTGATTAACTCTGAGCTAACACTCCCAGTGTGCTCACGCACCTTATCATACATTCTGTTTAGGAGTCGGGGCACCACAGGAAACACAGTCGGTCTCAGTGTGTTCAGGTCATCTGCCAACAAACGAATATCTCCCTGGAAATAACCAATTTTGGCCCCATGCACCATCATCACTCCCTGTCGGCAATCATAGAGAATGATGCAGAAAGCAAGAGTTTAGAGTATGTAATTAAAGAGAGGATGACACACATGGCTGGTAGGAATATTCATCAGCAAAGGATCACTATGGTAACTCAGGCAACATACCTGTACTACTCTCTCAAACATGTGAGCCAAGGGCAGGAAGGAAATTTGGACATCACTGGGACCCAATGGACAGGAAAACTAAAACACATACACACAGATAGAAATACAAGCCTGCAGACAGGAACACATGAGTATACAGGCATACAAGTTCTCTTTTCATCCCGGTGTCAATGAGTACATTAAACGCAGTATCTCTGTGGCAGCAGGGCTGAAAAAAGCCTGACCAGTAATTTCGGTCCGAGCAAAAGCATCAGGTGGCCTACCTGCCTGTCATCTCCTACTTGAGCGCACTATGCCCATGCACTCAATGCGTGAGCCAAGAGTCTCCCACAAGGGCAGTCAGGAAGACATGTTACTGCTCTGTTTTGATAGCTAAAGCTAGAAAGCCACAGCAGCTTCTGGTCACAACTGGAGGCTTTATTCAAAAAAGTTACAACTAAAAAGAAGCTGCATGCTGCATGAAGTAAAACCAGAATTAACACTGGTGTAGCTTTTGAATGATGGTGACAACTGAGAGAACAAAAGGGGCTGAAAAGTGATGTCACAGTGGCCTGCTGGACAGGCAATTATGTTATTTTTTTTTCTTTGGGGGGCATTTGTTATTTTCCTGAAATTTGTAAGTAGTTTTCAGGCAGTGCACGTTGCAGTGTGTGTTGTGTTTTGGAGGAGTGGCTTTGGAGAGAAGTCAGAACAAAAGGGTGAGATTTCTTCAGTTGTCTGCTTTTAAAAATCAAGCTTCCTCTTGTTGGTTTTTCCTGGATCGCCAACCCTACATTTAAGAAACTTTTCAGTGCGTCTACATTTGTCAAGCATCAGACATGAATGTTACTGGGACTAGAAGAGCGCTGTGTTTGTGTCCTTGTGTGCTGTCACTGTTGGCCTGTGAGCACTCCCATTTTTTGGACCCAGTGAGTTTTAAAATAACATTAGTGAGCATTTCATTTTAATATCTGCAAAACTGAAATTTGAGCTAGCTCTTGTTAATTGTGAAGTTGTTAATGTCTGTACCTTCACTGCCCTCTCAAAAATGTGGACCAGAGGCAGAAAAGATGTCATGACATCATCTAAGGTGCTCAGAATGTAAGACTGGACAGAAGAGGAAAAAGTTCAGAGCCCCTAATGCTAAGACATCTCTCTCTTTCTTCCCTTCTGCCCTTTTCCCTCAACATTTCTTCCTTTCCTTGTCTCTGCTCCCTGATCCATTACAGTAGCTAGCATATCAGTCTCATAGCAGGAGGTGTGTATTCAAATGTCAGTCAGAAAAATGTTATTTACTTGTATGTTTCTCAAACAGTGTGGTTTCTTCTCATCCTCCATCTCCTGATGTAAGTAAGAGAAAGGAGGAGGTAGAAAAAAAAAGGAGAGGATGAAGTAGAAGAGAGGAGGAAACCTACCTCGTCCACTAGTTCAAATCTTTTTATACATCCTTCTATTACAGAAGCCGTTGTTTCACTGTGACTTTAACAGCTCATACATGACATCAGCACCTCACCGCTGTCACTTTGATGAAGGCTGAGCAGTTGGACACAATATTCCCATGCGTCAACATGACTCCCTTTGGATCTCCTGAAAGTGCACATACACATCTTTTAAAGCAAAGCGGCAGACACATATATTTCAGATACTGCTGGTAACTTATTTTGGGTGACTCTCAGTGTGTGTGAGTCTCACCTGTTGTTCCACTGGTGAAGCAGATGAGTGCCATGTCCTCAGGTCGTGGAGGCTGGGGGTGATGTGGTTTGTCAAACAGTGCCAATTAAAGGGCAATTCTGGTTATTTTCTGTCTTTCATATTTTCTACAAATCCCATACAGAGACCAAAACCAACAATGAATTCTGCGTACCTCCATAATGGCTGTGAATGCAGACCTATGTTTAGCTTACTGGTCTATCAAGAACACAGCAGTGAGCCACATCACTGCACTGGGTGACATGTTTCTTCTGCACAAAAGATGTGGGGTTTATCTTATTGCAAAATACAGAGTTCTAAGACAGCTAGGTATGGTCATTAGTTTGGGGGCGGCTGTGGCTCAGGAGGTGGAGCGGGTTGTCTCCTAACTGCAGGATTAGCAGTTTGATTCCCAGCTTGTCCGGTCAACATGTCTAAGTGTCCATTTAACAGTCTGCTAGCTTGTGTTAACAATGCAAGAAGCTAACAGAGCAGCGTAAACAGGGCAGAGGTCACGCACATGCACAACTGACAGTTTTTTGTTGGTTTTATTCTCTGTATGAGATTTATAAAAAAAAAAAACAACAACATTTAGAAAACTTACAGTCTTAACCTTTAACACATAACATCATCAGCTGAAGTCATTCTAAGTACTGACTAGTAGCATGTCTTGTGCAACATTATTTTTAGGCAAAAATAACAGGTTGATATGGGAAACGTTAAAGTGGTCTTTCTGCATCATATGTAATGGCTTACAACTTAGCACTTAGGATAGGACTGAAGATAGTGAACACACAGGTTCACTATCCTCTATCCAGGCCCAACAGGTCAGTGTTTACGTACCACTGGTTGGTGATAGCTGGCCTTCCCGAGAGCCTGCAGAACAATAAAAGTTCATTAATGAAGTCAATAATGAATTAATGAATTTTTAAGAAACAGAATAATAATAAAAGTGTAAACAAAATCCAAGAAAACTGGAATAACACCAACACAAGAAAGAAACTAACTAGGCAAAAACAAGAACATATTAAATAAAAATAAAATGACAAAGCAACAAAATTCAACAGTTTTACATACAAAAAATGGAAGATTAGAACTAAATAGCTAAAGACAGAAGAAGAAAGCAAGAACTGTTGAGCGACAACAACACAGAATATTTCCAAACTAAAAAACAGAAGGAAGAAAAACAGTCATCATACAAATAAAGTCATAGGACTGATGAAGGAATAAAAGAAAGATAACGTGGACAAAAGCCATCTGCTGACCTCCATCTCCTGCAGGCTGAGGATGTGGATTCCTGCCTGTTGCCCCCTGTTGACCAGGTCAGCACTGGGGGTCTCCATTAGAATGATGGTTTTCACTGAGTGGTTCCTGTTTTTAACACACTCCAGTATCAAGTTGACTTTGTCTACCGCATCACACACGATGGTGGCGATGGAAGCTTCAGAAACAATGTGCAAACACATGCTGACAGGTCAAACTCTGATACATAAGGAAACTTAAGCGTATGTATTGATTTTGTTTTTGCTGTGATTTACCTTTGTCTATAATGTAGGCAATGGCTTGCACTCCCAGCGTGTTGTACAGAGGGACTGACACCAGAGAGTACATGTAACATGCCAGCTCACTGATGGTCCACTAAGACCACACACACAGGCATTATAGGATGATACATTTAGTCAGTAACCCTAACAGATAAAACACTGGTATGATGATAAATCACCTGAACAAAATAATGTGATTACTGCCAGGGTTTATATCACAACTGTGTGATTTTGTGTATGTTAAGTGTGTGTGTCTGTACCTCAGGTCTGTTCAAAGAGAAGATGCCGACGTGCGGGTTGGTGATCTTGGAGTGTCCTTTGTGAAGAAATGCAGAACCCAGATTCTCTGCATGCTCCATTACCTAACAAACACACACACACACACACACTAATGCTGCAGCAACAAACAACTATGTAAACTGAGCTTTGTTTGACCTCATTATCTAATAAAACAAAGGGCACAGTGGAAACATTTCCCACTGGCATGGTTGAGTATAACAGACTGAATCTGCAGATATTTACATTCATTTATCAAAAGTAGCCTCTGTTTTTAAGAATCTCTTGTTTACATCAAAATAACAGAGAACTGGTTATTAAGGCTTCATGTTCCTCATGGGAGGGGGGATCGTCTCTCCTCATCTGTCCCTCTCTCAGGTCTAGCTTCCATCCCTAATCCTTATTCCCTCTTGATCTGTGGAGGTGAACAAACACCTAATAACTATATGGATTAATATAGGCTAGTTAATTTTCAATGACAGTTATAGTCCACGTCTTTTTAGCGGTTGTAAAACTATGTCCTCAAAAGTTCACTGGTCAGTGCTTCACTCATCTACCTAACCACAGCCTGACTTAAAGAGAGACGTGCATGGTGCGTTCAGCATCAGAGCATCTTTAAGTCATCAGGTCCTGCTGAGCTGCAAGGACAGCGGATGGACAAGCGGTCTTCACCAGGCCGACAAACAGCAGAAATGGTCTGGACAGCAGTAGTTTTCACGTAGGTCTTACAGACACCAGTAAAAAAAAACAGTTTAGAGCAGAGAATAATGGGGGATGTGGGTGATTTAAACAGCCATCTATTAAGATTATGCTGCACTTAGTGTGCCAGAGAAAACAGACAATGTGGGGATCCAGGGGTGATGCCTGTGTGTTGGAGACACATTTGATAGAATGGAGTTCTATCTGAGGTCCTTGAATAAATGATTTATTGGTGGCATAGATTTTTATTTTTATTTTTTGCTGTGGTGGGAATGATTTTGGTGTGGAGGGGCACCACTGTGAAATGTTACCAGTGGAAACATTCAGTCTGCAGTCTACAAAGTTAGGGTTAGTTTCTACCCTTTACTTATTTTTAGTGCAAAATGAACACTACTCATTAAATAAACAAATAAATACATACATACATGGACAACACATATAGGTAATGTTAGCCCCACCATTCTACTGGCTTTACCAGTACAACAACAGTTTCTACTGCCTGCACATTTAAGCTGGAGGAGTGATTGCACAGCAAGGTGAGCTGCTGCTGCTGCTGCTGCTGAGTCTTACCTCCCTATAGGACATCCATTCATAGGGCTGCTTAGGTTTCCTGAAGCCCAGACAGGGACCATTATCTGGAAGACGAAAGGAGAGTGTGGAAGTGAGAATAATACAACTAGCAAGTAGCAAAAGACACCCAAGAAGACCAAATGTCAGGGCAAAGGAAAAGGTAGGACCTAAATATGCAGACCCAGACAGAGGAACTAGTTTATAGGAAATATTTAATGAAAAAAATACTGAGCAACGTGTCAGAGGAAAAAGAAGAGGAGCTTGCGGGAGGGGGTAATGAGCACCAACGAACAAAATAAAAGCACAAAACCAGGAAGCAAGTCCAAACCACAACACCAAATTTCAAGTCAATACTGCTTGGTATCTCATTGTACACCTACCTATCATACATGTGTACTGTGTACAAGACAAACTACAATGTTTATAGTAGTGGCAAGATGCTGTGATGTCATCAGTGAAAGTTTGAAGATTTAAGAAGTAATTTATAGTGTCCAGGGTAATAGGATACAGCTGAAAAATGTCTGCCAAACTTCTTAAAAGTAAAAAGAACCAGCCTCCAATGCAGGTAAATGTTAAATAACCAGTATATTTTGGAATCAAGCACATTACTTTTAACCCATATGTATGAGGAAAAGCTTGTGTAGTTTTGGATACTAGCAAAGCTAATAGCCTCAGAAACTCATAACATCATTTGTGACTTACTGGAGACTCTGAGCCCTCTGAGGAAGAACTCGTATATTGTTCTGGCATCATCGTAGAAATGTGTTAAGTGAGTATCTCCGGCCTGCAGAGCAGATCTGCGCACCAAGTCGCTGCCCTGACAAAACAAACAATGTAGGTTGTGAAAGCTATAACTGATCCTTCTGTAAGCCTTGCATCAGGTTCAGTGCTTAAACATTTAAATCACATAGTTTAGCTGATTGTGAATGAAAACGCATTTCTTTTTACTTTATTGCAAATACATGGTGTTCGGCACTTTGCAGCAGCTTGCTCAGGGCTTTTGTCTGATCAAAACAGCAAATATTATTATTAACTCTCTGATGCGTTTCTGGTGCCAGTGTTGGGCTGATCACTCCACCCTATAATTGGTGGCACATCAAGGGCCTGACAGCTGAGGGCAGGGTGGTGCCTGTGTTTGTGTTTGCGGTTAAATCAAGCTATAACCAGTTTGAAAGCAATTATATACTGAAGGCAAACAGGCAGCAGCAGTGGAATACAGCCAGCTTTTCTATCCTGCATTAGTTCTAGCTAGAGCCCTTTCAGTTTTGCTAACTTTACATTCCATGGCATTTTGTCAGCAACAGCACAGTTATGTACAATTAATTAAGCCCAGATATGAGTAGTATGAAAGTTTTGATTTTGACCTGCTACCTTTTAAAAACATGACCCTAACAAGAAGATTTCAAACTTGAACTCACTGGAACCTCCACTGACTGCATGCGGAGGTCGCAGATTGGTGGATGGGGCCTGGGCCGTGTTGCCAAGTAGTAGGCGGTCGCAGCTGTCACTGCCCCCATGCTGACTAACATGGCGGTGAAGACATTCCTGATGTATTGACTGACATCATCCAGATCTGACAACCCCAGCTTCTGAAAGAACTCCTGGCTCAGCATGATGCCACTGATGAGCTAAAAGGTGACTATGTACGTTTGTAGAGAGAGTGTCTGTCTGTGTGTGGTGGCAGCAGTAAATCTGTGTCTGTGTGTCAGGTGAATGTCAGGCTGAAATGGCATCAGCAGGTTTGTACTTGATAACACGAGGTACTCTCCGTTTGGCCTGAGTGTGTGTTGTAGAAAGGAGTGTGTTGTGCGATGACAGCAAGGAGTGGACCTAAAGCAAGGAACAGAAGACACATTTGTGCACTTTATTTTTTAAACTTTATCCTTTCAAGTGCTTTTAATGCATTTTTGTAGGCTTGTTTAATCACCAAGCACACCCCTCATTTTGTGTTTGCCTGTACTGTAATTAGTAAGTCAACACAATTACAACCTCGAGTTATAATTCATATGTAGTGTCCTCAATTTTCAAATGAGTTATACATTGACATTTCAGTTAATATCATACTGAAGGTTGTGTGGGTGTGGTTTACAGATGCTTCTGCCACATAAGACTCATAAGACGCTTTCATCAGAGTTTTGCTGACACCACTTTTTTCCTAGCTGCACCCAGTCCTGCTCCTCTTATTAGCTGAAAAAAATGAGGACAGAAACAGCCATGCACAAATCTACCATATGAAATGATGAAAAACACATATAAACAAAACAGCTGTTTTACAAAAACTGTGCCCTGTAGGTTAGTATGTAGCTTCTGAAACTACACAACCAAGATGGAATTGAGGAGAATCTAGGCTCCTGAAGTAGTGGTCCTGTTTTTGGCAGATGTTTAACACCAGGCCACAATGAAAGGCCTGTTCCTGATGGATTTGTCAAGAGCACGTCTGATTGGTGTAGCAGAATCCCAAGGTGACACAATATGTTTGTTTGTTTACAGCAGATTGGAGTTCACTTTGTTAAAACACATGGCATGGCACAACAGCACACCACAGCATTTGTTTCTGTTCATGACTTCACACAAAAAGCATCAGCATTTTTTTACAGCTCTTGAATCCAGTGCTCTCTCAGCAAAACCACCAGCAAAACTGTTTCTATAACCTCCTCCAAACCAAAACTCAGTATGACGTGCAGAGAGCTCAGAGACTTTGTTCTGCTGCTACTACTGTAGAATAATAACAGGGAATGTGTTCAGCCATGGCTCATACTGCAATATAATTAGATCATATATCATATAGTTAACAGATTCTCTCTGGACAAGTTAAGCAGGTGTCAAGTGTAAGGTTCCCATGGTGTGTGCGTGCGTTTGTGTT